TACGGTAAGTGCCACGCTTTTTAACAACAACAAAAAGAGGTGCTGGTAATGCGTACCCTTGAGTAGCCTCTTTTAAAAAAGCAGTGAGGAGCATTTTGTGATTTGCCTCAGGTGCCAAAATGTATTGGGCCAGCCCTGGTTATCAGCAAAGTCAGGGCTCCAAGGGCACCCTGGTGCGAGTGTCAGGTGGGCTCAGTCAGTGCACCCAAATAACCCCCGTCTTGCTGCCTCACTGCCCGTTCCCTGCTATTAATGTGGACCAGCACATTCATTTTAATGTCTGAACCAAACATATCTGCACACACACACACACACACACACACACACACAACATGGGCAGAGCTTGCCACCATGATGTGGTCATTCTACCCACTTTGAACATCTAAAATAGGTTCACACCAGTTCTCAATAGAGAAACTGCCCATCACAGGCCATAGCTCAGTGGGAGAGCATCTCCTGTTCATTTTGTGAATTGAAGGTTTGAAACCCTTGCATCTCCAGGTATGGCTGGAAGAGAACCTTTTCTGAAAGCCGGGAGGGCCACTGCCAGTCAGTGTAGACAATACTGAACTAGATGGACCAACAGTCTGACCTGGGATAAGGCAGCTTCCTATGTTCCTATGAACCTGGGACTTTTTTCATAAAAGACATGCAGTCCACCACTTTGCTACTGCAGTCCCTTGCCTAGTTTTTTGTGCTGCAGACTGGTGATATTCTACAGCTTTCCCTCCAAGTCTCAGAAAGCAGAATCTCATTTTTTCCCCCTAAAGCATTCACAGATTCTCTTTCCCCATCACCTCTTTGCAGCTCTATCCATCCTCCATTTAGAAATGAAGAACAGAATGGAAATCAGCAACAAGCATAACTGACCAATAAACTGCTACAGTATTCTGCTGGGTGTCTCCAGGACTGATGAAACGAGTGCTGGCGTCATCTGTGAAGACAGCAAGCAACATTCACCAGCATGGCTCACCGATTCCACATTTCAAAGCCTGCTTTATACATGCCATAATCTATGGAGGCTTCCTTCTGGAATCTTTGATGCTACTTAGCTGCATCAGTGGCCTTACAACCCATAAATCCCAGCTGAGTCATGCCTCCTGTTTAGACAACAACAAGCACACCACCTGACGACGCATGAAAAAGGTTCTGAAGTTCTTCTCTGTGCTCAGTCCCCCTTCACATTCAAGCTTTCTTTTACACTGCCACCTAGTGGTCCGTTGCTGAATTTCATTATCTACCTGTGTTTACAGTTTGGATTGGGGGAAGTCCCAGGAACCCAAGGACTTGAGCACTGAGAAAGGACACCCTATTTTGATTCCCATAGGAAAGCAATGGAGATTTGTCACTCTAGATGCGTAAGTGGTTAAAAAATGTTGACAGTTCTAAGAAGATTGGGTTGTCAACAGAGATAGAATGCAAATTAGCAGAGAGGAACTTCAAGGATGAAATGACATTATGACCCTGGTTGGTAGGCTGGATGCCCCAGCGCTGTCTGGCTTTTCAATTGCCAGCCAATATCCTTCCGCTCCTCTTCCACTTGTCAGAAACAGGCTTTTCAGGTAGTGAAGAGGAGAAGGGAGATAGAACGTCACATGTAATTGGTATATATGAGAGAAGCAGCGGAAATCAGGTGCAAGATTACACAACTACAGCCCAGTTTAAATGGAAGCACAAACCACAATTTCACATTTTGTACAGTTTCATGGCCCACCATTTTCCTTCTCAACTCACTCCTGCAAGCTATTTTTTGCTCCACGGGAGAAAATATACTTGTCCTATTATGTTCCAATCAGCTATCATATTATTTCCTTCTACTATGGACTTACAGGCCTATTCTGTGAAGGCTACAATGCAGGAGAAAAACATGTTAAATTGATTGCCTGGAAACTCCCTTAGGGAAGGTAAGATTGGGTGTCTGAAGCTATGAAGTCCCTCACTATATGTAACAAATGGTATTTATTTTCTCAACCTCTAAATGCACTGCTGTCCATAACTTGTTTCTCACCCTAGAAATTCTGAGGGAAGCTTTGGACAGGATGTTCTATTACAGACTAATCATACACTTAAAGAGCTTCACCTAAAGTTACTTTCCTTCACATTGCAACTGCAAAAATGTCTTCTCTTGCACACCAGGGGGAGAGAGAACCTTGGAGAGGAGATGAGGGATGCCGACAATCAGAGGCTTGAAATGGAAAGCCACCAGGTGTGTGAAAATGGGTGAATCTGCCCATTGCAATTTCTCATTTCTCAGTTCACCACATTTCCATTTGTGCATTATTATTATGTTTAAGTCCTTTTGAAAATACACCAACATTTTACTGCAAATTTCACCTAATATTCTGTAGGCAAATTTGCCTCATATCTACATCAAGGCATGTTTTCTCTAATACAGTGGTACCCTGGGTTACATACACTTCAGGTTACATATGCTTCAGGTTACAAACTCCGCTAACCCAGAAATAGTACCTTGGGTTAAGAACTTTACTTCAGGATAAGAACAGAAATCGTGCTCTGGCGGCGCAGCAGCAACGGGAAGCCCCATTAGCTAAAGTGGTGCTTCAGGTTAAGAACAGTTTCAGGTTAAGAACGGACCTCTGGAACGAATCAAGTACTTAACCCGAGGTACCACTGTATTTATATCTTCCCTAACAGGATGTATTTTTGTAAGTTATGCACATTTTCGCATGCATTACTTGGCTTGAGAACTGCATTGCAAAATTCAGAGAAGTGTGAATTTTGAAGGATGGGTGTGTTTTCGTTTGCATATTGTTGCATGAGGTAGATTTGTTTTTAAATGTGAATGGAATCAAATTTTGCTTTCAGCCCTAACACTCATTAGGCCAGGGCAAACACTCTACTCTGGCTGTGGGAATGGACCGTAGAGGGGGAAGCAGAACAACATGTGTTCTCCAGAAAAGGAATGTGTTTATGTGGCACTTTGTCCAGGACCACTCCAGTGCTGGCAGGACAAAATGGCATTGTAGTGTCAGAAGGATATGGATGGAAGCTACCCCAGCTGTCAAAGCCAATGTCCATTTAATTTATATACCACCTTCCTAAATATTCTCCAAGTGGTTTACACTGAACTGACCCTAATAGATCAATACAAACAAAGCATAAAAATCAGGCTGCACTATCTCAAGAGTCAAATTCGTAATAAGACAACACATAAATTATTAGGTAAAAACAATCCCTTGAGCAACGACAACAGAGTTCATAAATTCTAGATCATTGCATTTCAAAGCAACTCGAAAGCATAAACAAAACAAAAAAACCTCTTCTAACAGGCACAACATATTCAATTAGTGCAGATCACAGGAAAATCAACAAACATGAACAAATCCAGAAGTCAAAATTACATGAGCCAATAAGGTAAAAAAATAATACAAAAGACAGTTTTATCAACTTCAGTATCTTGTTCCCAAACTCTATTCATACTCAACAGGTTATTGTGCCATCATAGTATCGTCTCTCCCCGCACCAGGGGAATGCTAAAAGACAAACCTTCCGTTCCCTATCATAGGAAGTAACAGATATTGTAACCTATACCGACTTAGTACATGCAAGGCAACCCTCACAAGGACCCAGACCCCCTTTGCATATCCATGGATAGGGCCAATACTAAATCCACCAAGAGTGAGCAAGAATATATCACTCATTCCAGTGAATAAGCTGACATTTACAGAGAGACACTTATCAGCACAGAAAAGGGTTGTTCTTAAGGGAAGATTCTCACATGTCTTAATTGCCTGGTCAACACACAACATACATTTTTTTCAGCGATCAATTTAAAAATTACTACTTCATTTAGAAACGATTGCTGCAATTTAAATAGTATCAAAATATGTCTCACCGTAGTGGGAAAGACTGGGACTAAGTGGCCACTGTGTCTGCTTAGTCTCCTGCTGAGGTGTTCAAGGTCCTTGTTCTGCCTTCTTAGGGTGTTTGTTTGTTTGTTTAAATGGGAATTGGACCAGACAGCCCTCCAAACAGAGGAGGCCTTCAAATAAAAGAATGTCTTTTGTATACTACATGTCACGAACTGGTAGGACAATGGGGAGGAGGAAGAGAATCCCGGCCAGGGGTGTAGCCAGGACTGGGACATACTGGCACAAGCTGGGGATGGGGAAGGAAGTACTTACAGGGTAATGGAGGATGGAGATGGGATGGAGCTCTGTGCACAGGAATCAGAGCAGCAGGACCCAGAGCCAGAGAGACCCCTGTCCCTACGAACACGGTGTGCTTGAAGCACAGGAAGCAGTGGGAGAAGTGCTCCAGGAGGCTGAGGCAGGCAAGGTCCCACAGCCCAGCTCCCTTGCTGGCCAGGTGGGGCTCGCAAGCTCTGGGAGGGGGTGTGTGATTCCTCAGCTGGAGTAGGCTCAGAAGAGGTGAGGGACACATGCCTCGCCAAGCCCAGATGCTGCAATCAGCAGGCAAAGTGATTGACAGCTTGGCAGCCCCAAACGTCTGTCAGATTTGACCCACATGGGGTAGGGAAGATAAGGGCCAAATCCATTGGCCAAATTCATTTTCCCGTATTTGGTATAGTCACCTTATTCACAGGACACAAATTTGTGGGCCTTTTCTTAAACAACTTTGCTATGTGTGGTCCTCCAGGCCTACCTGATTCCATATTTGAAGCATTACCAGCGCAGCATGGGAACTAATCACATAGCACAGGTATGCATGTACCCAGTCAGAGCAGAACTGGTTGCTGTCTCTAGAAGTCCCCAGTAGCAGTCACACACATTTCCTAAAACAGCTTATGTTGTGGCAGAAACAAAGAAAAGGTGTCTCCTGAGGTACTATATCTATTTGATCTCTCCTCAGGTGTTGTCAAGTTGTTGTTAATTGCCATTTACAGATAAGAGGCGAATTCTAATGAGCTGCGTGTTAAAGGCAGCCAGTGACACTGATAACAGACAGCTTCACATCACAACCAGGAAGTGAAACCTAGAGCTGGACAGGTTCTCTTCAGTTACTAGGCAACCGGACCACAAAGCTTTCACTGAACTGAAAAGGTGGCTTCTGAAAACATCATAAATCAATGTTATGCTTCCCAGATAGCTTACCACAAGGGACTCCTAGAACCTAATGTTATGTCTGCTACGTGGTGGTACATGTTATTTCTGCTACATTGTTCCCGGCACAAATGCTTCTCTGTGGTTGTGCACCCAAGCCACGATGGAAAGGTGCTGCAGGTAAAGTATCAACTTCGTAAGTTCCCAGACAATGTGGCTACCGGTCCTACCAATGGCTGAGACCCCTGTGAAGCTGCTATGCTCATGTGGGATATTAGGTGACCCATCTGATCAGTGCTTTAGGCATTATAAAATGGATGCAGGATCCTGATTATAAGGAGTTCTCTTTGTGGTGGCGAACCTATTGTGCTATAGACAAGGGATGAGGAAATTGTGACTCTCCAGATGGTGTTAATCTACAGCTCCCATCATCCCTAACTATTGGGCATGCTGGCTGGGGTTGGGGTTCAACAACATCCAGAGGGCCACAGCTTCTCCATCACTGCTATTGAGCAATAAAATAGTTCTTCCCCTACAGCTCCCGAGCCTCTCGGACTCTAAAAGGCCCATTTTAAATGAGACCGTCTTGGCTGTGAGCCCTGGAAGACCTGCACCCTGCCTTACTGGCCCTTTCCCATCTGGCCTGGGAGAGTGGAGTGCTGGCTGACTCCAGCTACAAAAGCTGAGGCTGTTGAACAGATTCTCTGGCTGGAGTATTGTTTATGGGGCGTTGAGAGAGAGCTGTTGCTGTTATTGATATTATTGTTGTATCTTTAGTTTTAGATCTTATGATTTATGTGGAAATTGTTTCCATTAGGTTGTGTACTTTTTGATGTGTTTCATTTATTGTTTATGACTTCTGTTATGTTTGTAATTATCTAAATCTTGTCATGTTGTAAGCCGCCTTGAGCATAGTTTCAACTATGGAAAGGCGGTATACGAATAAGATGATGAAGATGATGATTTGCATCCTATTGCATACAGTGGGATTTTGCACTCGGAAGCATTGCTGCAGCTGCCAAGAAACATAATCCAGCCTACTCATTACCTTTTATAAAATATAATATGGGGGGGGTTTGCCTGTTTTCCTCTGCTGTTGGCTTCAGTTCATGGTTGCATAACTGCTGACAGTGTCCCTGGAAATGATGGCTGGAACGGTGCAGCGAGTCTGCCCTAAAGGAAGGACCCCATGGCCTTTTGATGCTTATGAGCTTCGTGCTGTCAAGGAGGCATTTGAAATGCCTCTTTGGAGACTGCAGGGCTACGTTGCCTCAGAGCAAAGAAAACGTCTTGCCAAACTGGAATTTAAAGAGGATGCGAACTCTCTAGATCCCAAGCCGCAAGCTGCAAATGTGATGAGTCAGATGAGATCTCAGGCAAGAAAGCCTCAAAGGATGACAAATACATCACTGATTTGCATGAGGAAGGAGAGGCTTCCCACAAAATTCAACAGTTCTGAAAACCCTTATAATGAGATAATGCTTAAAAACTTTGGTTCTGCACATACAGGAGCTGGATAACCCAGGTTTCATTATAGCTGTTTTCCTGACATTGCCAATTCTTACTTGGCACGTAATAGGAAACCCCCCCTTCACATTTTTTGTTTTTTGTTTTTGTTTTGCAATTCTAGACCTCATGATGACAGACAGACAGACAAGCACACACATGTGCAGGTAGCTGAAAACATGTCTTTGCCCATCACCAGAAAATATTATTTGGAATCTTGATGCCAAATGCATGTGTGGTTATTTCGACAATTGCATTGCTTGTTCATTGCCATACACCTTCAGTTAGCCAGGGAAACTGGTTTCATTCTCCTTTGGCTTCTAATTCTTAAACTATTTGTCATTTGATGTTAGTTGCATTTTACTGTTACCTATGATTATTTTAGCCTTGTGAGCTATTCAGATAACAGTGTACTGAGCAGCCTACGTAAATTGCATAAACAAAACAAAAGCTGAAGATTTAGAGGTGATGTGGTCTGGTATAAGATTTGTTGTTTTAGCTAGGCAGTAGTGATATGATCCAAACCTACGTGCCACGGAAGATCCAGCACCAAGGGCCAAGCTATGTGTTATGCTAAATGTGCAACATGCAGCAATGCCTTGGTTTTCGCTTTAATTAATTACAGGTGTGGGTGGCGGTTTTTATTAGGACAGCAGTATAAGGGGCTGGTGAGAGCTTTATAATATTTATTCCTTCCCCTGTTGTAACTGGGATGAATCCCCCTCTCACTGCACCTCTTTGGCCTTAAAATAATAGTTCCCATTACAACCACCAGAATTATTTTCTAAGTATCATAGCCACAACGGGTGAGGGGAATAAATTTTTATCCCAGTAATGGCTCAGGAGGAGAGGTATAAACTCTCTCTACCTAAGTGCTGTGGTCCTAATAACAGTCCCATACCCTGCATCTGCAGTTAATTAAAAGAAAAGTATTAAAAGTGTGTAGTAGGGCCTTCAAATACTGGACACGTAGTTTTAAAATATTTTTATTCACCGAACCTTAAGAACACCGTGTCAGTTTATTTGCTTAGCTCCGGAGACATAACAGTGTGAGGAATTTGGAGCCAGGCTTTCCATTTCCATTTCAAAAATGAAAAATAGCGTGACACGGGAGCTTATTTTGACTCTGTCTATAAAAACAACAGTTACTGTTATGAGGTGGCATTCATAAAACCCAGCGGTGCTTTTGGATTGACAAATTTATGTGTATTCTTTAAGTGATTTAATGCAGCATTTCTTAGATCTCAGTCATTCTCTCTCTCTCTCTTCAAGATCTGAAAAGAGGCACTGAGACAATTTCATTATAAACCAAAGGGCTTGGGAATGGTACCTTATTTATTAATATGCGATGCAGCCCCTGAGGATCCTGTCAATGCCGAAAAGAAAAACCCTCAAAGTAAAACTGGAACAAAACACAAAATGGCCCTGCTTTAAAAGAACACGCTTCCTTACAGCCAAACTAGATACAAACCCACACACCCTTACGCATGCTCTACTTGCGACTGTGTATATGCATGGCACCAGGGAAAAAATAATTTAATTCATATCTGGAAATGGCGGGAGAGAGCTGGTGAGTCCTCATGGTTCATGAGGAGACCCTCCCTGGAATCCGAAGAGTATGTCAGTGAGGGCAGAGGGAGCCCTGAAGAGACTGGGAGGCTCAGGGGGGCTTTGTTTAGGCTGCTCAGCCTCCCTGCCCAGCAGCTGGCACACAGGATCACATCCTCCAGCTTTCAGGCAGCCCCAGAGCATCAACTCTAGATATTTTGGCCTGGACTGGGGAGAGAGAGCAGGAGAGAGAGAGAGCTGAAGAGCAAGAGAATAATGGGCATTTAGAGGATTTTAAGAAGTTGTTTAGAGGGCGCTCTCCATTTTGCACAATTTCTCTTATGTGTGGGGCCCGTGTAAGTGGAGGGACACCTTAAAATCAAAGAACAACGATCAACTGTTATTTCCTTAAATACACTATTTAAGTGGAGACAAGGGGCATGCCAATTACGATTGGGACCACAATATTGATGTTGCTCTGTCTCAGCTGTCTAGGGCAGGAATCCTTGCACCTATTACTTTTCCCTAGCAGATTCCAAAGGATGGGTCAATTTATGTTAGGAAAAATTGTCCAGTATAACCCTTTCCACCATGCTGCCCCTTTGAACCAGTTGTCCCCACCAGCCAGATCTTGTCCGGAAGTGAATGGTGATTTCGCCTGAGGACATGGAGAGTGAATGATGAAACGATAACTCAATTGATTTGAAGTTCAACTCAAAAAGCATCCTTAACTACATTATTCCACAAAATGTGGGTCATTTTGTGCAGCCACAACAGCATCTCCAATCAGCTGCTCTGCTAGCGACTAGCGTCCCTGTATCACTGTTGCTGACTGGGATCCTCCAGATTTTGGGACTCCAGCTCCCATCATCACTGGTCATTGGCCATATTGTTGGGGTGGCTGGGAGTTGGAGTCCAACAACATCCAGAGGACCCCAGGTTCGCCACCCCAAGGCAGCAGGAAGACTCTCTTCGCCATGGACAGCTCTGAGGCACCACACAACTACTTCCAGTAAACTGAGTTGCAGGGATCAGTTAAGGATCAAGATATATGCAGCAGTCTATAACCAGTTCCCGGTTACCGTATTTTTCGCTCTATAAGACTCACTTTTTCCCTCCTAAAAAGTAAGGGGAAATGTGTATGCGTCTTATGGAGTGAATGCAGGCTGCGCAGCTATCCCAGAAGCCAGAACAGCAAGAGGGATTGCTGCTTTCGCTACTCAGCAATCCCTCTTGTTCTGGCTTCTGAGATTCAGAATATTTTTTTTCTTGCTTTCCTCCTCCAAAAACTAGGTGCATCTTGTGGTCTGGTGCGTCTTATAGAGCGAAAAATACGGTAATTCATTTCTACAAAATGCAGCCACAGAAGCAGCAAATTAACATAAAAAACCAGCATGAGCAAAGGGGTTTCATCACTCTTTTCCTCTTTTTTTTTTGGTAACAAGCTTTATTAATAGTCTTACGATACATTACATATATATATAGTACATCTCTTAAAGTAAATTGAAATTTCAATCGTGTACACAAAAAAAGAAAAAACCCATATACTTATTTTCTCTTACATAATTATGAACCTTAAGCTTCAGCTGTATTTATGCTGCTTTTTATGCGATTATTAACAAAAATATCATAAAGACTTTGGACTTCCTGTCAATTCCCATTGTATGATTTTATTCTTATAGTGAATGTACCTATCATTATTAATCTATTCTTTATATATTCTCTTTCATCACTCTTTTCCTTTCTGCCATTTATCTATAAAAATTCTTCCCAACCTCCTTTCTGTCCCACAGGTTGAAAGATGCAGGTACCTCAGAAGCTGGGACAGGATTATTTTTACAGCACGAGGGAAGGATTTTGTAAAATGGGAGTAGCTAACATTTTCCAGGCCAAGGATAGCATTGGCCCAATGCCAACCAGGGGGATCACATGTCAAAGTGAGTGTAGCTGAAACGTAAAAGTGGGTGTGGCCAATTTTGATTATTATTTTTTAAATGATTTTTGAGGGAGAGCTATAAACCTTTTGGCATCACAGAATCACAGCAGAGAATGCATGAGAGTGGTAGCAAACATAATTATTTTAAAACTTTTTAAAAAAAATTGAGGGCCCCCCTCAAATGACACTATCACAGTGGGATATGAATGGAAGTAGTCAGTGGCCAAAAAACCTTTTGGCATTGTGGCATCACAGTGCGGGAGCTGGGGGAGCAGTTAAAAAAATGTGCTTAAATTTAATTTTAAAATTTAAGGTCTTAGCTGGATATCTTTTGTATCACCTCCTGCCTGAGCCATTTTATCTGCTGATGCCGGGAATTGAACTTGAAGCCTCCTGCATGCAAACCATATGCTTTACCCCCTGAGCTACGTCCCCTTTCCACCTCCAAGGTGCCCAGCCTCACAGAAGTAGCCTTCCATTATTCTCTCAACCACAATCTACATTTTTCTTTCAGATCCTGCCTGCCCCACCATCTTCACATTAGCTGCCATCATTTTTACAAACCGATTAAAGGTTAGACCGAGGCAAGGAATGTGATGCTTGGCATAACCTGCTAGAATTTCGGATGGATATGTGATCTTTGCTGCTAAGAATTACAAGAGGAAGTGTGTGAAGTGCTCTGCACATTCGAAATCAATATATACATGCTAGATACTGCTATTATTAAAAACAGCAGGGAGGCGGATTGCAAAATCCAATTTAAGGCCTTTACTAAGACTCTTGGTGCAAGAAGACCTTGGACCTTATACGGCTAGCATGCTGCAGTTTCCTTCCTGGCAGCGCACACATTTCTTTCAAGTTTCTCCCCCAGATTCTCACTTCAGCTCTCTTATTTTTCGTGATCTGATTAAAGGTAGCGAGTGCAGATTGGAGGGTGGGAAGCAATGCTTTCTTAGCCTGTTGTTGTTCTTTGAAGATATGCCATTGTCTGATGGATAAGGGTAATGGGATGGATTTTCAATAGAGAAACAAGAAAAATAGCCACTTCAAAAACAGAGGTCCTAAAAGTCATAGGAAAGGGTGGGCGGGAATAGGGATCTGGGAGAAAGATTATTTGAGAAGAGAGCTGGCCAGGTAGCTGCAGGTGAGACCCAAAAGTAGTGAGAACACACTGGTTTAATCAGAAGATTCCAAGTTTGCGAGTGGTGAAGGCTGAGGGATTAATCACAGCCTCCACCTGCATCTGTTTAATGGCGTCTCAGCTGAGCTTCCACTCAAGGGAGGCTTGCAACAAATGCAAAGGTTTGTCTCGAAAGGCCATTGTAATTTTAGGTCATCACGTGGGAACCTTTACATTGTCTTTGCCATTTGCAAATGTTATATATGTGTTCCTGCTGGCATTTTATTGGCTGCAAGTCCTCTTTTAGGCTGCAATCCTATGCACACTTACATGGGAATAATACTCACTGAATTCATAGTGACTTACCTTTGAATACACAGGTGCAACTTTTCCTATCAGTAAACTCCTGATTGTTGAACTATGGCCCCTGGGTGCAAACTTGTGGGGTTCACAGGGGTGGGGGGAATGCCAGAGCCCCCAAATAGCATGTAGGACAAATCATAGGGCAAATCATGGTTACAGCTTGTAGTTTGTTTGAACCATGAACCTGGATCCAGATGACATACTAAGACAAACTATGGCTCAGTTCAGACTGCATCCTGATCAAAAGTGACTGTGGAGAAGGGCCGTATCTCAGTGGCAGGGAATCTGCTTTGCAGGTTCAAACCATGGCCTGTCCAGGTAGGGCTGGGAGAGATTCCTGCCTGATATCCTGGAGAACCACTGCCACTTGGTGTAAAGGTAAAAGTAAAGGGACCCCTGACCATTAGGTCCAGTCGTGACCAACTCTGGGGTTGTGGCACACATCTTGCTTTATTGGCCAAGGGAGCCGGCGTACAGCTTCCAGGTCATGTGGCCAGCATGACTAAGCCGCTTCTGGTGAACCAGAGCAGCGCACGGAAACGCCGTTTACCTTCCCGCCGGAGCAGTACCTATTTATCTACTTGCACTTTGACGTGCTTTCGAACTGCTAGGTTGGCAGGAGCAGGGACTGAGCAACGGGAGCTCACCCCGTCACGGGGATTCGAACTGCCGACCTTATGATCGGCAAGTTGCAGGCTCTGTGGTTAACTCACAGTGCCACCCATGTCCCTTTAGCCACTTGGTGTAAACAATGCCAATAGTGTAGAACAATGGTCTGACTTACCTTCCTATGTTCCTCACATAGCTCGGTCCATTTTGTTCAATAAAATGTAAGAATTGCAAATGTTGGCATTAAATCTGGATCATGATGAGCAAAGCCAAAATTCCTTTTTCTAGCTTTATATCTGCAAATAGAGAGAACTGCATGATTCTTTGCTGTTTTCTTATATGTAGTTGTTATGAAAACATATTTCTTCTTGCCTGTGTAACTATTTCTAAAATAAGATCCCCCAGAGAGTAAGAAGAAAGGTGTGAAGGATTATCTATTAATCATATGAATCAGGAATGTGATTCACAGCCAAATGACAGCTTTGTTGACCATTGTATGAAATACATCAAAGCTATTCCTGAATACGTAACCTATTACTCATAATTACTCTGTAGAAATTAAATCTACATTCAAACTGAAAGCTAAGTGTGATGGCCTTTGCAGGGGGCTAAGATCTGGATAATAATAGCAACGCATTCTACTTGCAACTTGGCACATGAAAACAGCAAAACACTTTCATAAATGAAACGTTCCCCTCCTAAGTTTACCACCCATTTTGGCAATTCTAGCAAAATGAAATGAAGGCTAATTTTTAGATTTCTGTTTCTTCCACACAGTGGGATGCAAGGACCTGCAAGGATAAAAATAATACTGCTTGGACTCTAGGTGCAGAGCAGTTCTCTACTGCAGGATAACTTGCCAGCTAGTGGTCAAAAAGGTGGTCGAACAGGTGGCCTGAGGGGCTTGGGGTGGGCTGTGGGGGGATAGGGTAGATGTGGGGGAAGGGCAAGTGGTAGGTGGGGCTGGCAAGCAGGCGCTGTAGCCTCTACTTATCCATATGTTTGTTACTAAATCCTGGACTAAAGGCATTCTGGGCCTCAAGGGCGGGGGATGGAAAACCCAAAGGCAATAAGGCTACCTCAGGTGAAAGCAGTTTCAGCTAGTACTAGAGAGTCAATGCTAAAAATTAATTTCTGGTGGTACTGCATGCCAGTCAAACTAAGCCAAATTTATAAGCATTTGCCTAACACCTGGTAGTCAAAGCATTTTGGCAGATTATTCCAAGAAAACTTGTCATTAGTTCATCAGTTAATTCTGATGGACCTGGGTTTTGGTTTATTATTGATACACCCTGCGACTATGGGCCGTGTTATACAAAAGCTTAATAGCTCTACTGATGGCAGCGAATGGTCTGCAAATAGCCAAGCTGTGGTATTGACAAAACTCCATTTTCTGTACAAGGCTGGTGGGCAAACATACAGGACAGAGCTTTGGCAGAAAAAGTAGCAGAGGTGAACAGAGGGCATAAGGGAGCTAAGGACTTGTTTGTGGGTACATGGTATCCTCTCAACACCTTTGTTTGTCAGCAACGTGGATTTGCTGAAGCTCCGGAGTTAAATAAATCATTCTGGTCTGACTTCTTCCCCAAACCACTTATGGTCCTAACGGTGATCTCAATGATCTTTAGACATTTTACTGACAGCAAACATGCATCTTTTTCCTGTGCTTGTCTTGACCCCTGATAGATGTGCAGCACAGTTACACATAAGTTTTTGTTTTATGTCATTTTTATTATTTTATTGTTGTGGTCTCTTTGGGAGTCTTGCAAATACGTCAGCAATTCTACAAGCTATGAAAAACCTTTGAAAACCCAATAAAAAGGTTTTTTTTAATAATAATAATAATAATAATAATAATAATAATAATAATAAAAATAAATACATTGCAGCAAAGGGTTTTCAATTCCCTGTACCAAAGCATAATTATTTCCACCAATTCTATATATCCCAGAGCTGGAACAGTAGAAATACTTCACAAGTCAAATGTTCCACAATTGCAGGGGATGGATGTGGATGGACAACTTGTCCCAATAAATCGGAACTTTGATCTTTTTTTAAAAAAAACAAACCTGTGTGGACTTTCTCCTTCCCAAGCAGCTATTAAAAAGCAACAGGGATCTATCTTTGAGGTAGTTGTTGGCATAAGTGATGAATTCCTTTCGTTATAAATTGTAACTGAAGTTCTGTAATGTTTCACGTCTTTATCCCCTAGTTAATGAATCAAGCTTCGGTGACAGTTTAGGTAAATTACGTCTTCGTATCTGCTTTGGGAAAATGAGATCTTCTGTTCAAAAGTATGATGCCTTGTATAAATATTGCTAGACTTCATATACTTTGCTTTAGCTATAACTATTTAACTTGTCTCGTTTGTCATAGTTACCTATTTTTAGACAATGAATTCTTGTGGTACTAGAGAAAATGAGAATGGGGTAAATTGTTTTGTGGAGTCAAGTTCCAACTCCCAAGTCTCTCCAGGGAACTTCATATCTGCTTACTCTCAAGTCTCTGAAGTGAGTAAAAGAGCAGTGGTTTTAGAAATTGTGTAGTGAATGAAGCGGGGACCCTTTCAAAAATCACAGGCGGATGAAGCCTGTGACCATGGGACTCGGCGGGCACCTTTAGCGCCCCCCAACCCGCTAAGGAACCCACTAACGGGCTCCGAAGTGAAGAGGGGGAAGTGGCGCGGTACTGTGAGTCAACTGCTATTTCCGTGGAGCGAAGCCGCATAGCCGTTGCCGGAGAGCGCTGCCTTTTTCCTGGGACAATTTGGACTTTAAAATAAGCACCCGTGAGTACTTAGACTTTGAACAATTGGACATCAAATAAGGACTAGCGAGCAGAAAAGAACTGGATTTTAAAAACCTACTCTAATTTGGTATGGAACGGGAAGGTCTAAACAGGAAGTCATCCTTCCGTTCTTTTGTAAACAGAATAAAGCAAAGACAATTTAAACTAGAGCTCAGAAAATCGTCTTTAAAAGATTGGATTTCACCATTTAAAATTGTGGAACCCCCCTTCGACAGCAGGAGGGGGGGGGGATCTTTTTGGACTGTTTAAAGTGACTTTAAAGTAAAGTAACTTTCCTCCGTCCTGATCCTGGAGCGGGGTGTCAGGACTGACGTTTGAAATTCATTGACCAAAGACAAGTGTTTTTGACAGATAGCTAAAAGAAGAGAAACATAGGGATTCCACTGTTCCCTTTCGCATTTTAAAGGAATATATATGGACAAAGTATCTTAAAAAGGGAAACTTTGTTGCAAGAACAAATAGAAGTTTTCCCCCTAGAGGGAGTCTGTGAAACTGTAACCAACTCCAGGGAGCCGGCAGCTGTTACGGATTACAACCGTGGGAACAGGCATCTGACCTTGCAGAACAATGTATTCAGAAGCTTTGTTGTGTGCTCTCTATAAAACAAATGCCCTACTGGAACAATTACATGAGAAGGTGAATTGGATGGCGACTTCGACTATAAATTTTGAACAGGCAGTGGGAAATTTTGAACAGACAGTGGGAAAATATGTGGAGCCCACTCAGGAATTAAATCAGGAGTGTGTCTTGACAGAACAGGCCCAACAGGAATATGATTTTTCGGATTTGACAAATGAACTTGGAAAAAGCCAGATTTGGAAAGGAAAAGTTTGGTTTGGCTTGGAAATGGGGGGCTGGATTGACCCCCCTATGCTGGGATGTTTGGACTTTTCAAATATGACAATGGGCCGTGAGATGTTTGGGACTGTGGGGGCTCTTAATTTTGGAGGGTCTTTGAAACATGCT